GCCGCGCGCCGGGGGCATGAGCCCCCGGGGCCGTCTTCCGTGGGCGGGTGCCGTGCCTGCGGCGCCCCGCGGCTCACGAATTCATTTTCTTAATCCTGGACAAATACAGAGGTTTCTAAAATTATAGCGTCATGGACACCGTGTCCGCAGAGCGCGGTCAGCACAGCGGCAGGGTCTCCCCAGCTACCACGCGGAAGGAACTATTAGAACTATTTTTAAAATAAGATTCTGCCTTGAATAACAGAAAAAGGAGAAACATAGGCTTATTCTTACTAATATATAGACTCTCTTGAAATGAGAACTGTGATTACTCATTATTTCGAGATTGCATCAGAGCTCCGAGAGCTACCTTGCATCACAGGACTCTTGTGTGGCTAGGACATGCAAGGGAGCAACAGACAGGAAGAACCCTGAGGCGTGGAGTAGTCAGTGGTCTGGTGGTGGCTGGGCAATCTAAAACAGCAACCCGCATCATATTACAATAAGAGACTTTTTTTTTCCTTTTGTATAAATCTGTCTGATATTCTGGATTTAAAATCACTTTGGCCATACAATGAAAGCCATATTCCCAGCGTAAAACTAGGAAGCCAAGGCAGGTCAGACTCATGCTTATACTTTGAATTTATCTTTACTTCCTGCTCGGTGCTGATGCTAAGCTGTATTGTCTCTTCTCTGTCTGCACTAAAATAGATTTGACTTTTATCTTTCTCAGTATATTGTTCTATAGCCTTTCGTCTGACTAGATTTCTTGGATTTCCTAAGTAGAGCAAATGACAGCATTACTGAGAGTTTGAAGCAGTATTTTTCCAGATAGTTCTATCATGGGGAATATGGATGGTTCTCTATACAATGAAGCCATAAGCTGTAAACCTAGGTAGATTAAAAAAAAAAAATTCTTTTTTAATTGCCAGAGGGTGCATGCACTTGTCAGATAGACAGAGAGGGAGGGAGAGAGAGCACCCAGCTGGGCATGGTCACAGTGAAATCTCTTCTCCTCCGTCTCTCCATCCTGTTGGGAGATTTCAGGCATTGCACACACATGTGCCTGGCATGATGTTTTTCAAGCCACTGGGACCAGGAGTTGAATCAAGGTTGGCCATGGGAACTCTGGTTTCCCTTAACTACTAGGTCATGGGGCTAGTTTGATTAATGTTGATTAGTAACATATGGATTTTATATGCTTCTATTTTGATTTAATCTGTTATTTTATTAATTTTTCTGTCTTGCAATTTAGACTCAGATTGATGGACAACTTTTCTTAATTAAGCACCTTTTGATTCTTCGTGAACAAATTGCTCCATTTCATACTGAATTCACCATTAAGGAAATTTCCCTGGACCTCAAGAAAACTAGAGGTACTTCGTAGTCCTGGCTGGCACAGTTGGGCATGTTTGAGCTGTCCAGATGTGTCAGCACAGGCTGTGGGTTTACTTTATGTTCATCTGCAATTTTTTTTGCATGCCTTTGCTTGCTGAATATGTTATCTGTTTATACTAAGCTAACTGTCAGTATCTTAATTCTTTCTAACTTGGTCTGTTTTCTTTTTGAAGGGAATTTTATATATATAGGCATTTCATTTTGTAATATAGTACAGGGGTACTTCAAAAAGTTCATGGAAAGTGGAATTCATGTCTAAGTTTATTTTGATACAGAATTTGAAAGCTGCACTTTTTTTTAATAACGTGTATTTTCTATGAACTTTTTGAAGAGCCTTTGTATTATCTCTCCTAGAGATTATTATTATCTCTCTTATTTGGCATATATTACAGTAATCAGTGAAAAATGAAAAATTAGTATAATAAGTACCTAATAAATAAGTGTCTGTTAATTAAGGTGATCTTGAACATTGAGTTGAGTTTGTCAGTTTATGAAAATTTAGAATGCCTGCTGGTTAAAGTGGGAAAAGTACTTATCTCACTCTGTAAGAGCTGGATTTTGTCCCTAGCCATTCATTTCTTGGTGCTTATGTGATGATACACCTTCTTCCTAGGTAGAATGAGCATAATCAGCTAGTCAGGATACCTCCATTGGGTGTTAAGATCATTAAAGAAGGAAATGAGTGAAGTATGTATTGAAGTACTTAGGAAATTTTGGACATGCAAGTCTAAATTGCTTACATGTTAGGTGGTATGTTGAATCAGGTGATTGTTAAGTAATCGTACAGATAATAATAAGTGGAAATAGACATCGAATCATCTTGGGAAAGGTGACTCATCCACCCTGATGATTTGTCTTTGATTGAATTAACAAGAGATGATTTCTAAAAGATCAAAGTAGTTACTTTCTAAGATGCTAATCATAAGCAGTTAAAGATATACCCCAAATATCCCTCATTTCCCTTAATTACTCTAAAATTTATGTAAACTTTATCTTAGCCATTTTCAAGAGGTTTAAGCTCTTATGCCTTAAGCCATCAGGCAGTGTAATGAATTAACTTGTCTCTTATGTATTGGGACAATTAAGACAATAGTCACTCAAATTATTTTCTGTGTTCTGTGGTTCAGAGGAAACTCAAATACAGGATTTCCAAGGGTAGCAGGTTTTTATTCCCTAATTACTGGATGTATCTGATAGTGGACTTGATTTAATTCCCTTGAGAGGCAGTATGGCCTCATCTTGCTTGATATTAAAACATAGGAAAACAGTTTACCCTTTTTCTTTCTTCTTCTTCTTTTTTTATTTGCTAGAGGGCACATGTGATCACCTGAGAGGGACAGAGACAGAAAGAAAAGTGAGAAAGCACCCGCCTATGGGAGATAGCCATGGCATGTTCTGTTCTCCTCCCTTCTCCTCTTGGGATTTGGGCACCTCCTGATGTGTTTTTCAAGTCACCTAATCTGGGACTTGAACCATGGAGTTGGCCATGTGGGATCCAGCACCTTAACTACCACACCATCTGCTAGCCTGTGATTTTTTTTCTTTTTAAAACAGGAGCTAGCTTTTCTAGTTTTTGCCATTACAGAATGCATTTTTTTTCTTTTCCCAAGCTTATTCTCATCAAAAGCTTTCATTGCCTCACTATTCTGGTTGATTTCCTTTTTGCCTTGTAGTGAAAGAATGGTGCTTTTATTGGAATTCCTGCCTATTGGTAGTCTTTATTTAAGTGATGTGATAGATCACAGTTAATTTACTTTATTTCATTTTTTTCTAATTCGTAATTTGTTGCTACTTGGTCTAGTGTAGATCTAGTGAGATGTGAGAAAATGAAATATCCTAAAATTTTGGCAAAATTTGGTTTAAAGTATACTTTATCCCCAAGTATTACGAAGGTTGTGTATCTTTTAGAAAAGACAACTGACCAAAAGAGCCTTTTACTAAATAAAGCTTTACTCTGAATACTGAATCTGGTAGAAATTCTTTTTTATTAATGCTTGGGTTAAGGCAATATTGTGGTGTGCACTTACAAAACCAGGGAAGCAAGCATTTCACACTTTGCTTTCTCCCGTCTGGCAAAGCAAAGCGATAATCTTTTCTTACCGTCACTTCATAATACTTGCGATCCTTACTTTCAAGTCTCTAACCTCTCATGACTAACTTTATATCTTATTGCATTTGAACATCAATGAGACCTCTACTTAGATTCTAGTTAGTTTGGAGGTTAAGGGGTAAATATGTCCTCTTGGTGTTTTCTTCCTGGCTGACACATTAGTTTATTCACACTGCTTCAGATGAATAAATTTCTGTGTCAGCCAGGATCTTGACAAAGAAGCAGGGTAAGTATACAACATTTTTTCCCCAAAAAAACCTTTTTAACATCCTAAAAGTAAAATGGTAAAATTTTACAGTGTTGATTACCATTTGTTGTTGTTATTATTATTATTAATTATTTTTGGTAAGGGAATAATTAAGACCAAGAGACATTTTGCAGTTCCAACTTTTAAAAGTAATTCTGTGTGGGTACTCTAAGCCATCCTGCAGCTCATCTCACCCTCATTCCCCGTGAGGACAGCTGCTGAAGAAGAAGTAGCTTTTTGCTTTGTGGTGGTAGAGAACTTGTCTATGTTATACATGGCTTCTCTGTTGAAACTGTACGTGTTCACTGGATGAGTAATTTTGTTTCACAGATGCAGCATTTAAAATCCTGAACCCTATGACTGTTCCAAGATTTTTTAGGCTGAATAGCAACAATGCCTTGATAGAGTTCTTGCTGGAGGTGAGAAGGAGTCTGTTCCATTGGTGGTGGGAGATGAATGACATTCTTTTACATGCCTGGTGGTTTCTAGGCACATAAAAACAGGAGTAAATTGTTACCTTCTTTTTAAGGGTACTCCCGAGATACGAGAACATTACCTTGACTCTAAAAAAGACGTAGACCGTCACCTGAAGTCAGCCTGTGAGCAGTTTATTCAGCAGCAGACCAAGCTGTTCACAGAGCAGCTGGAAGAATTCTTGACAAAGGTATAGACCTTGGTGCTTATTTGGTAAAATCACTTTGCATTTTCCCCTAGAGTTCATTTTGAATGTCTCTCTTGTGCAGAATCTGGCAGAAGGAAATGGTAAGCCCAGGTCTGAATGATTCCATCTGGGGAGTCACTGTGTTTTCTGTTCATATTCTAGAAGCTTTTTGGTTTATAGACTTTTAGATAGGCTTGCAGGGTTTTTAAGAGGGAGAGTGCAAATAATTATAAAGCTAGTTACAGCTGCCCTTGGTTTGCCGCGTTCTGTTTATCCACATCGTAAGTAGTCTGCGTATGGGCTGGGCTCTCACTTTCTCCTGGAGCTGCCTGTCAGCAACCAGAACCCTGTGTATCAGAGTTGCCTGTTACTTAACGTGGGTGATTTATTTTCTCCTTGTTTTACATGTCATGTTTCTCTTTATTTTGCATAAATAATTGAGAAGGAAAGATTTTATATTATTGCACTGTTAATTGCCAGAAGCATGGATTTAAAATAATTTATCTATCTGTCTCCCAAGCTAAATCTATCATTAGGCTAATGCCCCCAAAGAAAAATTCAGATCAGGGCCATTTTTAAATTTTGTTACAGGGCACATGTGCTCGCCAGAGAGCCAGAAAGAGAGAGAGAGAGAAAGAGAAAATGGGAAAGCACCTCTCCCCCCCAGGGGGGATGACCACACCTCAATCCCTTCCCCGCCATTCTTCTCCCAGGATTTTGGACATGCACACATGCCTAGCCTATTTTTCAAGCTGCTGGGTCCAGGACTCAAACCACACAGTTGGCCATGTGAGATTCAGTAGCTTTAATTGCTAAGACCCCTGGCTGGCCTGATTCCTAGCTATTTTTATCATTCCTGTTTCTACCTAACCATTTTTAAACATTTTATTGTTATAACAAAGGATTTTGCTACAACAGAAAGATGTTTAAAAGGTCTTGAAATTAACTTTCATGTATTTATTTATTTTTAAAAGGATTATTTTATTTAACTTTATTTATTTATTTTAATTTGACCAGAGAGAAAAAGAGAGAGAGAGAGCAAGTGAGAAAGCAAGCTGCAAGGTCAAGGCTGGCACCATGGTCGGCCGTGTGGGAGCCAGCACCCTTAACCACTGTGCCACCTGCCGGCCCCAACTTTCATTTATTAAGCCACCTTTGTCTACTCTAGATTGTATTAGAGGACATTATAAAAAGAGTAAAAATATGACAGCTCTTTTTCTTAAATTTACTAGCTAACTGGGAGTACTGTTAAACAAATTGTTCTTTGGTAACTTTTTTGCTGGATCCATCAACACTAATATGCCAGAAGCCTGTGATAAACACAGAAAATACTAATTTTAAAAAATAATTAAAATCATCAAAAAAGCAGATGTAGAAATGTTAAACAGTTCTTCTAGTTATCACTGGTATATGTTACTTGTTTAGTGGATTTTAGTTCATTCATATCAAGTATTTAGAATGCTTGCATATATATCTATCTTTTTTCACACCACAACATTTTTTATATTTAATTTTTAAATTATTATTTTTTAAATTTATTTACATTTAATCACATGTCTTTACAGTATACATTTATTTTTCTAATACAGATACCATGCTTGTCAGTCAAGACAAAGATTATTACTATATACATTATCATCAGCAAATAGCTTCTCATTTTTTGTCTACTAAGCATACTTTTACCAGTTTTTTCATTCCCCTTTCCCCTCCCTCCCTTCCATACTAAACATTTTTTTTTGTCACATTTTATTGATTCACAGAAGATCTTAAACTAAAAGTATGGACAAAGCTAGAATCTAGTGACAAGTGCACTGTAATTTTCTTCTGAAACATTTTTTTCCTCTTCATTCCCCTTTACTAAAGAGAGGTATAAACTAACTTATTTGCAAAAAAAGAAAAATAGGTTAATCTCAATTTGATCTGTTACTTGCATAAAGCCCCAGAAGAATTCAATTTCTGATTCAAGGCCACAGATACTGTTACATTATTGAATTTATGCAAATAACCATTCTGCCAAAAAATAAGAATGATCTCAAATATTTTCCAATTGCAAAGAAAGGGGGAAAAGTTTATGTTTCAATTAAAAAAATTTTTTTTTTTTAACAAATTGCTGAACCTATCAACAACTCAAAAGAAAACAAAAATCCTTAAATTTGGAAGACAAAGCATAGAAGAAAATCAATAATGTTTAGAAAAATGTCATAGAATTCTATTTCACCAGTTCAGTCTCATGTAATCTCTCTATTGTTGAATTTGCAGTGTTACTGTGGTCTGACCTTTCCATTAACATTCAACATTACTATTGATATTTCAGAACTTGTCCCTACCATTAAGTTGGCCTTTTTCTTGGTCCTTTTTTTTGGTTCTCTTATTTGTCTGTCTTTAGTTTTCCTGGAATAGTACTTACTCCCTTCAGAACTTCTTGAAGCTGCTCTGGTGTTGGTAAATTCTTTCAGGTTTTGTTTATCTTAGAATGTTTTTCTCTTTTCTACCCATATGAAGGATAATCGTGCCAGATATAGTTTTTTTGGTTGAAATTGATTTTCACTCAACACTTTGAATGTTTTCCTATTCTTTCCTTGCTTACAATGTTTCTGACAAGAGGTCCAATGTTAGCCTGATAGGATATCCTTTGAAAATAACTTGACATTTTTCTCTTGCCAATTTTAGTATCTTGTCTGTCTGTGGTTTTAGTCACATCCTATGATGTGCCTTGGAAAAGATCTTCTTGGGTTGATTCTATGTGGACTTCTTTGTATTTCTTGGGTCTGGGTATTTGAATGCCTCTCTAGGTTTGGAAAGTTTTCTTCTAGGATTTCATAGAATAGCTTATCAATGGCCCGATTAGTTTTTTCACCTTCTGAGATACCGATTATCCAGATGTTTAGGCATCTAATGATATCTAGTATTACTTGTATATTATTCTCATTTTGGGGGGGTTATTTTCTCAGCCTTTTTGGTGAATTTTTCTGGGTCAGGTTCTGTCTTCTACATCTGAGATTCAATCTTCTGCATGATCTAATCTGTTTTTAATACTTCAAGGGAGATTTTGATTTCCTCTATTATAGTCTCATCTCTAACAGTTCTGTTTGATTATTTTTGATTGTGTGTATTTCTTATTTCAGATCATGAAAGAACTTCCTCACCTGGAACTCAGTGTCTCTTTTCTCCTGCATTTTCTAGAGTTCATTGTCTCTCTTCTCTTGTATCTCTGTTAACTTTGTCACTATAAATACCCTAAATTCTTTTACCTGACATTTCCACGAGTTCCACTGTACTGTCTGTGGATGAGGAAGGACTATTCTTTCTCCTCGGGGGGAGAGGTATTTTCTTGATTTCTCTTTGTGCTGGTTTTTGGTCATCTGTTGGATTACTGTTACTTATCTTTTTGAAGTTAATTGTGAATATTAGGGGCCAGCAGAAGGAGATGACCTGCAATATTTCTGCAGTGCCATTTCCCTGATTCTCACCAAGCAGCCTGCACTTTTGTCAGTGGAACTGGATATTATAAAGACCTCACAGTTCTAAGGAAATAGTTGCAGCTGGGCTGAGCTGTGGGGTTTCAACTAAGAATTCAGATGTGTGTGGGAGATGAGCTGCGCTCACTGCAGATCCTTATTTCTCCCAGCTGCTCACGTTGCAGACTCTCTTCTCTGATTTTTAATCATTTGGTGGTATATTCACATTTGGCTAATTTGTTAGAGACTTCTGCTACTGTAAGATCATATGCTTCACTTTACTGTGATAAACTTCTAGGCCTATTTCTCCTCTATTCCAGTGTTTTGAAATGTAGTATCCACAGAAAGGAATTTTAATTTAGATTTATAAAGATGGTTTCTACCTTTTGGTACCAGTTCAGTAGGGGTTGAGATTTACTATGACCCTGAAAGTATCCAGATATTTTGCTACTGTGTTTCTAGACCTGCCCAGACACTTAATGTGTGGAAGGTAAGAAGGTGAGAAAGTCGGTAAAAGGAAGGAGACAAAGGGAAAAAGACAAAACAAACAAACAAACAAAAAACCCAAAAAACAAAAAACGACCCACAAAAAACAATGAAGAGGGAAAAAAAATTTTTTTAAAAGAAAAAGGTAAAAAAAATGAGAACCATGTGGCATACAGGGCTATGCTCACCTCAGTGCACATGAATTCTGGAATTGGCAAGGGAAAGGAGAGGTCAGAGACAATAGTACCTACAGATTTTTAAACACACACACACACACACACACACACACACACACACACACATATATGAAAAATTTCAAGCAAAAGGGAGAGACAGAGACAGAAAGAAGACCATGCTACCTGACTTTTCACTGAGTGTTGGGCTGGAAGGAGAGCTCTGGGGCAGAGACTTACCCATTAAAGGGGCAGAGCTAGGCCTACCTCAGATGCACATGGATTCTTCTCAACAAAAATTTAAAAGGAAAATGGTAGAAATGTATTTTGCTAGGTTTTAATTTTTAAAAAAAATGCAAGCATTGATACTTTGTAATTTACAGATAAATGATAGTTTTTATTGAAATTATCTTAATGGGACCAGCAGTTAGTGTAATGGCTATGTTGCTGGACTCCCACGTAGTCGACCGCAGTTCGAGTCCCAGACCCGGTGGCTTAAACTCATGCTGGGCACGTGTGTGTGCGTGCCCAAGATCCCGAGAGGAGAATGGAGGAGAAGGGATTGCAGTGTGGCCATCCCCCCTGGGGGGTGATTTCTCGCTTTCTGTCTCTCTGTCTCTGTCTGTCTGGCGAGCGCACATGCCCTATAGCAAAAACCTATCCAAAAAAGAAAAAAAAAAAGAAGAAATTATCTTAATGGAAAACCAGCTTACAGGTTGTAATGTATATTTTGGGGACAGCATCCACAATAATATTGGTGGAAATATTATGGAAGAATATTGTACAGAAGCAGAGCAGCAGAGTAGCAGAGTGAATCTGAAATAAACATTCTAATCATAGATTAGAATGAAACCTAAGATTAAAAAATTGTTTTAGAACAACATAG